GTATACACATACTTGAAGTCAGGTAAGCATCCACGACAATTAAAAAAAACTCCACTTTACGCGTAAATCAAGCCAAAATACGAATTTCTGAAGTTATGAGTACCGTGGACATTGAATTTTTCGAATGAATTGTTTAAAGAAATAATATAGCGATAGTATGCAGAATCCCACCGTATCAGAATCATAGGACTAAAAACTAAACCCATAAAGACTAAAACTTAAACATGTAGCGATTTCTAGACCAGACCTAATCCGAGAAATAAGAAAAGATAATTCTTACTTGGAATATTATCATAATTAACGAATTACCACTAGCTAGAATTCTAAGTATCAAAAACTAAGATTATACAGTTCTGTTTCTCGTTCCATGTAATTTTACACAAACACTCTTGTAAGGTGAAAAGACTATTTGAGATAGTACTAGCTTAGCAGACCAATATTATTCACGTGATGAATAAAGGGGAAATGGAAACTAAAGTCACAGCAGGACTCGAACCAGCGGCCACAGGATTACCAGCCCGGTGTTCTACCACTGGAACCACGTCACCCAACTGTTAATGCGGTCTTAACTTTACTTCATTGTCTCCAAGAGCCTTGCCTGTCTGTCATGCGAACGTATTATAGATTACCTTCTGTTCGTTGCAATAATATTATCTGCCCAGACAATTCCTCTTGTTGCAATCCAGAACAAGCTGAAGTACGAGACTATCTAAGATAGTTGTGGTTTAGCAGACTGATATTATTCATAAGAGCTGGTGAATGAAGACTTGGATGGGCAAATAGTGTGACTACAATGAACAGACAGTTACGTATCACGCACTCATATAACAGACAAGGGAAACTCTCGAACATTTAAGTAAGCTATAAGACCCAGTCAGAAGCTTGGTCTCATAGTTCAGTTGGTAAAGAACTGGACCAGTGTTCTGGAGGCTATTGGTTTGAATCATACAATGACAAGAAGTTTCACTTGTGTCAACCACCACATCGTATTCTTCTAAATACCAAAACGAATTAACTTTGCGGATCTGTATGTATTATTGTTCGACTTAATTCATTATAAATTTCTGTACTCAGTATTCACGTGGTTTGCCAAAATAGTTTTATATATACATTGGTTATTCACCGGAGAGTAACCAGTTTCATGCTGTCTGCTCCTGGTTGCTTACCAAATTCTGTAGCCTCTGCTTTCATTAATTGGGTACTTTCTTTCCTCAATTAAGGTGTAAATACCATGGTACTTTTTACTCCCATAATTGACATAGGATAACAGCCTCTTAGAAGTTTTACTGTAATCTGGGAGAGATGGCTACCGAAACATGTTTGAGATAGGTGAGTTGAGGTGGTAAACTGGGCTACATTGAACTGCTTCATCACCTCGGGAGGAACGACACTGATGACAATGCGCCAACACTTTTTCTTCCATCGTTGTACAATACAGATTTCTCTACTGAAAACATTTTTCTCACTATTTTGTGACAGTCCACGCAATTAACAGTTGAGTCAAATGAACATCAAGCAGTCTCAACTGGTGCTTCTGGACTGACGGTCCATTCCGTAGGCTACCCTTATGATAATTGTCATGTTCGCAATTCACACATTAAATGAAACTTGGGTGCCAACCTATAAAAGCACAAGGCCATACATATTGCCTGGACGCTGATAATACTACTGGGCTATCAAGACCTAAGAAAATAAAGTTCCGAACCTATAAGTTAACTGCTCCATCTAATATTTTAAAGCTTCACCCATAAAAGTCAAATTTAACATCAACCATTACGAATTCTGTCTCACATACTAGACTACAGATTTCCGAAAAATGTTCGTTGATTTTAATCCAATCTATTTAGATATATACGAACTGAGAATTTTTCCATTCTCAATGGTTAAATCTTAATTCACTTGGTGGTTTACATAATTTCAGAGTCGTTTTTACCACAGTGATAGTAGTTAGGGAATCGAGTGAAAGTCTGGGAGCATTAGACAGCTGTTTCTCTCATGTTTGAAAGTAGTGCACAACATAAGAATATGTATTTTCTGTGAGAAATACGAACAATTTAGTAGATTTCGAAGATGAACGAATACTATTTGTATGAATATGAATAACCTTTTCCCGATAGGTGTTAGCTAAAAGGACAGTATAAAGTTATCTACAGAGTAGTTTCAAACAAGACTTGTGCACTCCTGATCAACGCCTAGAAATATTAAGTCCTGGTATTCACATTTTTACTTTCACGTCTGCAGTCACCTGAGTAAACGAAGTGATATGGTTGACGAGTGCACATCCGATTGTTACACTGCAATAATAGCCCTAATTGAGACTGATGTCATCGTACCTAACCCGTCCTTTGGTTGAAATGAGAAAGTTAATCATGGCTATCCATCTCCTTTCACTGATCTCACTAGATGTTTTTTACTAGTAAGTTGCTTAGGAAATTTCGTCCTGCTGGATCATCCAAAATGTACAGCTTGTTTATAAACTTAGGCTTTCACTCTGAACAGCAATGTAACCGACTTCAATCATCTACATCATCAATTTTGCTGAATCAAGAAAATATGTTAAGTTGATGAGCACCAACGTCCTTAAATGGAATCGACAAAAGTACTACAGTGAGTCAGTGAAACTTAGGACACTTCTTACGCTCATGGAGACAAATACCACAATTCGAAGCAGATCAGTAAATCGGTGAAAATTACTAGATAAAGGGTGATACATTCCGAAATTCACTAATACTCGAAGGAAACGGAATGCACTCAGCCTCCATGTGCACACCATGTAGTATAAAATGAGCCCCACTTATTGTGTGGGGGCTAGTAGATACTACCTGGCTGCCCAAACCTCAGTAGGTGGAGCGAGACTCCAACATATGACCCACTGGTTGACAGTCATCCCTAAAAACAATTCAGCTACAGCTCCTCACTCACCAATACTCTATCAGATGGAACAAAAGTCCAATGAAGATATAAGAAACTATGATTCTGGAGAATATAGATTTCTTAGAAAGAAAACAGACAAATAAAACATTTTCGATACCTAGAAGCAGCAACTAGGCACTATGACGATGCATGTTCCTACAGTAATTTGTTTATATGTACCACACAATAATAAAGCAGTATTTAGTGGATAGCACTTAAGCGTAATTCTCTGCTCATAATCATACCGAGACAATATAAAAGCAACTTTCGACGCTTGGTTTTGAAATTCTACTGTTTCCTGTTCTTTCACTTCAATCATATCAGTTTTTATGCATCTATGGTGGCCTCTGAATCCCTAGTGCGGCATATATTAGGTGTGCTACATGAGTTAACGAAAATCAGCAATTACTATTGATTATAATTCGCAAATATAGGGCAGGCGAGTAATTATTTTCTCACGAAACCTAACTACCGACACAGTATCCATGGAAATTATATAAGAAAATGTAACTAGTGGCTGAGAAATAATATCGCAAATGAAATATGATCAAATTCCACTCCTCGCATTTCTACATGTATGCCTCAACCTACCTCCCCCTCCCTACTATGAAATGCGTGCAAGCAACTATGCTGAGCCATTTCAAAAGTAGCCAAGACTAGGACAAGAAAATTAACGCAATAACTTGCCTCACATATCCGGAAGGTAGAATCCTCTTTTGCGTCATGATTGCTTACATCAATATACTCTGTCCATTTATGTCAAATGCAAACCTGCGATTAGCTAAGAGAAATGGCTGACGATCATTGCCGGACTCGAAAACGGTATTACTATCCAGAAACCAAAAATAGAAGGAATGCTTGCAAAAAAGCACAACAACTGCTATTGGGAAACCGAGCAAAGTAAACAAAAGTGAACACTGAAGTTTGACAGCAACCGGCAGATGCATTCGATGTCTTGTCAGCTTGATTAAAGCGGAAGAACTTCATTAGGAGGAACTGAACTAAAATGCAGGCGACACTTCAAGAATGGAGTTCTTCAATGAAGTGGAGCAGCAACCCAAAAACACTAAATCATTTGTGTAAAATTATTATTCCAACCAACCAAGTCAATAAATGTCTATTAGATACCATACTATAAAGTCACCATCAGGAACAAACAAGTAGTCCTGCCTTACATAGCAGAAATCTCGGAAACTGTAACTAGACTAACGAAATCTAACAGAATCAGGGTAGTTCACAAGTTCTCTGCCTTCAGTATAAAACAGGCAAAAAAAACCCACAGATGAAATGATTCCAGCCTAACAACCTACAAAACCAACTGCAGGAACATTAAGAAATACTACACCACATACAGTGAAAACTCATCTGGCATGTAACAACACCGACTAACAGTTAAATGCCAAGTCGTATCAATACAAGTAGACACAAATTTCACTAGGGAAACGAAACGCTTGATCTTGGAAACAAATTCATGAAACTTCACACTAAGATCAATAAAAAATCAATATGCGCATTGACTCAACCGACCAACGAAACGGCTTTCGTCAATTGGTAGGACGACCTCACCCAATAAACCAGAACATTTCAGAGACATCTTTCAGCCTTACAGCAGATTACCGTAAAAGTTTGCTTCTCACCTTATGATTCAGATAAAACTCAAATCCGAATAAAAACTGTTTGAGAAACGCGTATTAATACCGTACGTTTTTGATTTGAAATAAACAGCACTACTCCACTGCCTAAACAATTGCAATGTATTCCAGCACATTAGCAACTATAACATTATGTTCCCCTTTCATTGCACTTCCGAAGTTTTTATCAGTTAGGAACTATATCAAACTTCAGTAATATGGTCGGATAGTAGCTTAAGTGGAGTTACCTGCTCCCTACTGTCTACAGCTCCTATCGATCTAGATAACTTGCTTATTCATCCGAGTATGCCATTTCCGAATACAACAATAGCAACATAACCGGCTGTTTTAGTCGATTAATGATGGGGAAATCTTTATGTCCAACTACGTACACCAAGAATATACACATACGCACATTACCATACAGAACCTTACTTCTATAGATAACTGTAACAATGATAACAGTCAACATGTTTGCAGCATATTCAGATTGTTTGACTACAGTAATCACCGACCATATTAATTTTAGAAGAACAGAGTACTTAATAGTGTAAAACGACAATCATCCTTATTTAACAAGGTCAATAAAATTATCAGTCGTTTTACACTCACTGAAGATATCAAGAACCAAAAGTATAAAAGAAAACATATAATAAGCCAACAGGTAGGGAATAAAAGCCAGAATGTAGGCTCCAAAACAAACGATTACATTTTCATCTCGAGTCAAAGTGACAAAAAGGGGGCACTTCATTCACAATGTGAAAATGGAATCATTATTGCTAAAAGATGACTTAATATTCTGGAGCTTGAAGAAAGACGAAAACAAAACATTATAATGCAAAAGTGTCAGACACTAACATACTTAAAAATGATTGAAATCTGAGATTTTGGTACATAATTGAGTTATCAATAAGATTGGTGAAATATTTGGCAATAAGTCCAGAAAACGGAATGGATAGGGAAAGTATTCACTTATTAAAACACCTTCTAGAGGATTAAAAAACACCGAAACAAATGCATGACCAATAGAAGTATGCTGAAAATTATGAAAACGGCCTGAGCCTAAATAATGAGCAATCCGATACCACAAAATCGAAGTAAAAGTGGTTGTGAAAACGGCTAAATGTCATGTCAAGAAATGAATGAAAGGCACATGTGTAATCACTTAGAAAAATCAACCATTGTGTTGGACTTTATTTAGCACGCGACTGACCCACTGAAAATAAATCAAATTTAGTGCATTAGACTAACTAAGCAAACTAGCTTGTAGATAAATGATGGAGTAAGAAGAAAAAAAAGAAAAAAACAATAGTCCATAATCTCAAAAATATTGCAAAAATACCATGAAAACAATTCAGAGAAAATGCTATCTAATGTTTCTAGGACCTCGAAAAACTGTCAATAAAATGTGGTTTTTCGATGTTTGAAACCGTAGGTGGTGTCGACAAATGAAATATTAATAACAATAATAATAGTAATAATAATAACAGTAATAATAATACAATAATAAATAATAATAGCAATAATAATATAATAATCAATATAAATAGGGAAAAATACGGGTAAAAGGCCGAACTCTGTTGAAACCAGAGTCCACAAAACTGATAAGAAAAAATGAACATGAGTAAACAGAAAACATACTGTAATTAAATTGAAAAAAATTATCACGAGCACCCCGAAATATTCACGGGGGAAAATGACTCTTGAACGAAGTACGAAAGAGCGAGACTATCCAAAACGGACAGGTATAAATACTTCTTAAAACCAAATATCATGAAGAAGTTGAGTAAACTTTAGCGGTGAATGGAAGAACGATATCTTAGGAAGTATTCTAGTTGTGCAGTGGATAATAACCGGCTGGGAATCGATGTCAACAGATATATAAGGTGTTCAAAACTAGAACATTATTAGAGCTGCGTGCGAGCGTTACAACATAACCCTCAGTCGTTATTTTTAAGCAACAAGAGCGACTGACTTTGGTCTGGTTACAAACGAACTCGCTGAGTAGTTCACCTGTTCGGCTAAACACAGCAATGTGAAAACGGTTCCCATGTGAGTCGCCAACCAATACATCTCCGTGGTCACTGACATCTATCCCATTCGGGAAATCTGTAATTGTTTCACCACCAATACGACGAATGAATGTTCCATCTTCCTGAAAAACAATAACGCAGTGCGCCTGAAAAATAGCTTAAGGTAATAGAAAAATTACTTTGAAGTCACAAATGTAATATTCTCGACCATGTATTGCGACATCTGATGGTTCTCTCATGTGATTACTGCAATCAAACCAGCGAATAAGATCACCTTCTTCAGATACGACAAAAACTGATGGTGAAACACTATCAATAGCAACAATATGACCTGCAAAATATTATTAAGTAAGATGAAATACCATGCTGATTGATTGCTAACCCCGCAACAATATCAATGTAACGAATGGGGATACGCCGTACGAAATGCCCACTTCGACTAAACAGCTGCATACGAGATCGTTCGTTACCCCTATCACAAACAACATATCGCTGGCTTTGTCTGATAATTGCTACTTTGCGTGGATACCACATCAAACCATCCACTCTCCCAGATACGCCAAAGAAAGACACGAAGTCACCACGCTTTGTGAATATCTGCACAGGATTATTGAACGAAAGAAAAGCTTACCTGAATTCGATGGTTGTACGTATCTGCAACCACTATCTCCTCCTCGAATCCCAAACAGAACCCATGTGGGGAATTGAGGCGTCCTAATTCACAACCAAGGGACCCCCACTTTGTTAACAAATTCATTTGCGAACAGCGGGCTGCTCTCAACCTGCTGTACTCATACAGAGTTGCATTATAATTGACTGGAAGCTTTTGTTTTAGCATAAGATTAGAATCAACATCTAAAGATGGTATGACACTGTTTCCAGGGGCTCTAAGGTTGTCACCTGAAACAAAAGGAGTACTGAAAACTGGGTCAACTTGTGTCATATTAGACAAGAAGTCTGATGGTTCCAGTGTAGGTAGGTTAACATGCAAGTCACACCAGTTACTGACAGGACGACTTGCAGCACCTGAGTTGCTGGACCTGGGTATGTAACTGTTCAAAATACCATTACCAGTACGATTTGCGTTTATGTTACTATCACGATGAGCGCCGTCTTGTACCGGGCTACCTGGTGCTAACTGTAATGAAAGTGCCTGGTCTAAGACTATAACGGAATCTGAATCCATGCGTCCATCCACCTTTAGTGTCAGCTGTTTGAGGTCGCTGACTACGTCAGCAGCACTGAAATCTGCACTCTGAGGATCTGATGCTGAATATACTTGCAAAACTGAGTCAGAGCTTTGTTGCGAGCCGAGGTTCAATGTGTTAGCGAACTCGAAGGAGCCGAAATGTTGACGAATAACATCATTGACAGATGACAATCCAGGTGAAAATAAGAGCTTCACAGAGAGATCGTTAGTGGCTTGCTGCCTTGACAGTTTGTCTAAGCACGAAAGCACATTCTTAAACAGTTTACATATTTCAATACTAGAACATCTCTTCAAGTAGACCTTCACAAATTCGCATGCAAAGTCGACGTGGTCGATAGTCTTGCTCATAGTATTAATTCGAGACCATAATTTCATTTCGATTTCATCATGAATTTCTCTGTTCTTATGGATAAATTGGTCCTACAGATAAATATAAGTAGCATCAATTCCTTACCTTGATCCTTTCGATAGCAGCCACCCACTGGTTACAAGTCTCAATGATAAGGGTTTTATTGGCATCCCTGGACGTACTTAATTCAGAAAGTAGACTATGCATCGCATCGACAGAGTCACGGAAGGCCTTTTGTTTTAACCGACATCCGTCAACCAAATCTGACAGCAAAGAATCTATGTGTGTAGGTACTAAATCCAACTTGATGGTTATATGTCCCTTGTGTTCACACTCAAAACACACATCACATAGAGGAATCTAAAGTTACAGAGATATCAAATAGTTACTTACATGGCATTGCAAACAAAATGAGGAAAACATGGACTCCGGGTGAACTGTGCATAAAACTGGTTTGGTATTCATCATGTTTCGCTGCAGTATCCCTGCATTCAGCTTTTCCTCCTCAGTTAAGTCAAGTATTTCATGATTTGAGAAAACCTTCATAACCTAACATTTTTTATAAACATCAGTCAGAAAAAACCTTGTGAATATCACGGCATCGCTCACACAGCGTTCCCGCACATTGCATGCATCGATAAAGAGCTTCGTTACCATCAGTACATACTGAACATTTGACACCCTTCCCGTTTGGCTGTTGTGAATCTTCATCTTCACAGCTTGTTTCAACAATGGAGACATCGTAAGTCTCCAATGTTTTTATGCTGCTAGATAGTGTGCCACACCGTGGACATTTGGTGTACGGTACCACATTATCATTTCTTTCAAAATTCCGCAAGCAATCACGGTCATAAATATGCAGGCAACTCAAAATAACCGGGTTTGCAAACGGTTTCTCACATATACCGCAAAGAGTAGGTAATCCTCCTGTTTCCTCTAATGTTGAAATTTTGTGAAGCTCGTCAGAAAAAATATTATCCAATCCATCAGGTGATTCACATGATTCCCCCAACATATCAAAACCCTAACACCAGCAGAAATCTTGTCACCAGCTCCAAATGCGAGACAGTGAGTTAAAACAACTCTTCCAATGGCAACAAACAATATGATTTGGCAATCGTATGGTGCAGAGTATAGAGATAAACTAAAATTCCATCATGTGATCACATCACTGTGTTAAAAATTCCAGATATCTGCTGGTAATAAGTGACATTGCCTCTACTAAAGAGGATAGTGGTATTCTAGGACACCTCATTATCCAAAACCCAATATATCCAATATCTTTTGCAGGAGTGTATGGGCCAATATACCTGTTTCAGCTAGCCTCTACGTCCTAGGGGGCAGTTTCAGGTCTCCGGTTGATTCCATTGCAGTAAGTCTTTCCTTTAGCCTGCTCTAGCTCTGCTATACTCTACGGGCAGTTGGGTATTGATTAAATTTGTAGAGATTATGTGATTTTTCTAGACAATGTGGTGCAGATGGATCCCTCAAACGTTGTTTCACCGGACAGTCGTTCAAAATGATTCTAAAGAGTATATAGTGAGAATAGAAAGATGTTCACCAAAAACGAGTGACAGGAAATGAGAAGAACCAATATGAAAACAAGCAGAACTAAAGGAACGAAGAAACCTAGGCGGACTTAGGGAAGATTGGAAAGAGAACATGGATAAGGTTTCAGTCTAAGATTCAGATTTCAGATTTGTTGTTTGAGGATGGAAGCCTGAAGGCCTATGTCAACCCTTCTTCAACCCTGCCCTGACCTAGTCGGAAGGAATAAAAAAGATAGGTCACGTCTACAGTCGTTTCTCAGAATCCTGCACAGTGTGATTAGACCTCTCCTGCGTCCACGATAGAATAAAGGTTGGGCTGCTTAAGTAGTTCGCCGTAAGTCAGGCCAGTCATCACAGGGATAATACGAGTGGATGCCCCTGAACTCTTTTCAGAGTGTCTCAGCCAACCTTCAGACAGGGATTTGTGGAATGTGTACGGTGTCCTAGTGTAGCGTCACACACTTCCAGGATCAGCTGCCTAGGGTTCGGCGGGATTCAACATTCACGCTGACCTAGTTTTCCCTTATTGCCTAAGTTGAAGACACAAGGTCAAGCATCCTCGCCATTCGGCACACTGTCGTGTTACGTTGCACTGCTCGTAATCGACCCTCTAATCAGTTAGTTAGAACGTAACGGTACTTTGACACGACCTTGCGAACATACTATTCCATCCGACTACGACATCGTGTTTTTCTTGGTCTCATACTCGCGGGTGTATAGCAAGTTCGAATGATTAGTGGTTGGCCTCCGCGTCATTCAAGTTCACACCAAGACAAATGGTGAACCCGATGTGATAACAAATCCCGACCAAGAACAAACCCCAACTTGGTGAGCCCGCTCCATCTTTTTACTTGTATTTTGTTTTCATTTTGATAACCCTTATATATCTATATATAACTCCTTCTCAAATTCGACCATACTCCGAAGCTCATCCTTACTAAGCCAACGGCGAATGCCACCTAACTCGTGCCATACTGACCAGACAATGCAGAAACATGGTTTCAGCATGCTGGGGCAGATTTTCGAGAACGACAAGTCGCAGATCCTCATTCTCGATTTCTTGCTGTCATCCGTTCACCACCGCGAGAATGAAACAGGCATGTTGCAACGCTTATGTTTAGTCCTAAAGCAAGTGATCCTTATGCACTTCTCAAAGCCGCACTACTGAAGAAAAGTGGTCTCGCAGATCGCCAGCGCCTATACGAATTGCCTCGTAATATCCGGGTCGGCAGTAACTCAGCCACTGGAGTCCTCGGACGCATGCGAGGAGTTATCGGAACACGAACGTTCGATAATGGCCTTTTCCGAGAACTATTTCTGTCGAAGCCGCCACAACCGATGCAAACCGTTAGTGACACTTCAATCGGTTCCACTCGATGACCTGGCGGTCTCAGAAGATAAAATACTGCAGATACCTAGCAGACCCGTCCACAACTCATATTCTGTCCGCGATGAACTCGAGAGCCAGGATTCAGAAGTAACCAAGCTGTGCAACTCGGTAGAACAGCTTCTGCGAACCCGAAAGATTGAAAGAGAACTCAGCTTATTGATAAGCAAGTTGTGTGGGACTCTGCCGAAGGCTCCAGTGATGTTGAAGTAAAGTATTATCACTGGCATCTTCTGATCCCTTTTGCTGGTAACCTCTTTAGAAGGTCAGATAGTCTTGGGGTGCAAGAACTTCCTTTCAGAAGGCCATACTGTGACGAGTTGATATGGTTAGACTCCAGCAAGTAATCAGACGTTTGACTTTCAATAACTTTTTCCATAATCCTTTAGGTGACCGGGGTTATGTTAATTTGTCTGCAATTGCTAACGCTGACCTTGGCTCCTGATTTATGTTTTGGAAATATATTGGTAGTTTTCCATTTATCAGGATATGTCCCAGAATCCAATGACAGGGTAAATGTTTTGAGTACTAAAGCTGCCATACCCATGTCAGCCTTTCTGTTAATTATTGATGATATCTTGTCTGTCCCGCAGCAAACAGTTGCTTTCAGGTTTTCAATCGCATTGTTAATTTTACTCACGCTGAGTTGTATGCTACCCATCGTACTACTATTTGTACTGGCTGTCTCGATGTCTGGAGCTAGAGGCATGTAAGTACTATTAAGAAACCACTCACTGAGAAGTTCACTGATCACCTGTGGATCATGGTAACCAATCCCTTTACGCTCTGACTGATTTATTAAAAAGTCTTTTGTATTTTTTCGCTTTCTCAGAACACTGCCAAGGTTTTGTTTTCGTCAAACTATCAAGGGCACTACGCTGTTCAGCCAGCACTTTCATACGGTGTACTTCTTGAAGTGGAAGGAATGTTGCATGTATCTGATTCAGTACGTGAAATTCCTTCAAGACAAAGTACCTTTTCTTAGTCTTCCCAGTTTGCGCCGAGTTTTCCTATCGATATAAAGTTGTTTTTAGGCCGAGTTTGGTAGGTGCAGTTGTTTCCTGAGCGGAACTAATAATCTTATGAATATGTGCACATTATAAATTAGTTCAGCATGCTCGAGATAGCTGCTCCCTTTTTCGGGCCTCGATGCTTGGTAGTTTTTGTTTTGTTATGCTCATTAAGTGGTCACAGAAGTCTCAAGGTTTTTCCTCCCTGTAGCTTTGGATGTAGTGACTGTCTATTTCAGGGTACTTTTCCTCCAAATTTATGTCTTCGTTCGTTTGGGCCGGTCAAGTAGGTTGTTGATAAGACAAACCAACCTTTCCCGCTTCCTGCTTTGATGAGTAGCTGCAAGTGTCACTAAGCGTCGCAAAACATTAAAAGTGGTGCGAGTGGGGGTGAGAAAGGGAGGAGTGAAAAGTACCTATAGAAAGATGCGGCGAAGGGATATCTTAATACAGACATTTGGGCCGGGGAATACAGGGTTGGAAGAGCATACCTTCAGTTACTACCGACAAATGTTCGTGGTAGGCTAGTTGTACTTACGTACCTGGCCAGAAGTCATTTGAAGAAGTCAAATGATGTAGCCGTGGCTAATTTCTTTAGCAGGGCATTCTGTGGTGCATATACACTGTGTGAGAAGCTTGACCTCACTCTTGCCCTTGACCTATGGTGAGGTATGCGAGTAGGGTTCTCGCAAGACTGTCGGCTTTGGGTCGGTAGTGTTGACCTATCCGGGTGGCCTAACTGATGAATGATCTCGTGGGCTGTTATCGGGCCACATCTTTTCCCACAACAGCTTAGTCTAAGAAAGCTGAGTGGCCTAAGGTGTGGCGTATGCGCTTTGCCTGTTAGGCCGACAGCCGACCTTATCGCCCTTCTCTGTACCTTCTCAAGTCTACTCGTGCCTCTCCTAAGTAATGGGAGCCATTGTGTTGGATACCCCGGGTGTGGTCTGACATCTTCCAAACACCATGAGGAATAATTCTGCGGTTAGCACTCCTTCCTAGAAAGTGCATGCTGGCGTTCACCATTTCCCAATAGTTTTCACTAGTATCCAGCTAGTCAGAGACATTTAACCGTATGTCCTTCTACATGGATACACTGGTGATTGCCCCCTTGTCGGAAGTGGAACCAGTCTTCATCGCTCCTGGTGTACGAAGATTCATCACCCTACATTTCTTCGGGTTGAAGCTTGAATCACTCGTAGATGGCCAGGATTTCAACCGTAGTAGATCGTTTTAAAGTACCCTTGACTCTTCTTCCCTTCCCCATCGTCCTCCTTACTTTTATGTCTTCGGAAAATAGAAGAAAAGACGAGGGCATTTTAGCAGGAAGACCCTTGGTGGATAGTAAGGACAGGAGCGGCCCAAGGATGGCTCCTTGAGAAACTCCTGTTATTCCGCCCAGACAGGGTGACCGAATTCCGCTTACTTTGGTACAGCATTCTCTGTCCTCTAGATATGCTGTAAATCATGCTTTGAATGGCTCAGTGATGCCCACTTTCGCAGGTTTAGTGAGCATGATGCGGTGTGGCACGTTATTGAAAGCTTTGGCCAGGTCCAGAGAGATAATATGGGCCAACAACTTGTTGTCCCACCCAGGGGTCTTGTTGTTCAAAGCGGCCATCAAGTTTATGGCAGATGACCCTCCGCTTATAAAGCCATGTTGGGTGGTATAAGGGATGTTTCCTCCGTTTGGGCGATCCTAATCAACATCTCCAACGAGGCTTTCCATTACCTTGGATAGTATGGGAAGTGACGCTATGTGCCTGTAATTGCACGGGTCCTTTCGGTCTCTTCCTTTGAAGTCCGGTGAAAGGATGGCACACCCCCCCTACGGAGTGGACTTACTTCCAACAAGTGCGCGGGTGGATGGCATATAGGTGTGCTTAGCACTTCGGCATGCTTCCAAAAGACCGCCGGTCTCATGTTGTCACATCCCTGAGATTTCCTTGTTCTCAGTGTTGAAAGTTCCGAAGATACTTGACTTGAGGAGATCCTTACGTTCATCGGCTTTGTGTTGCAGTTCTGGAACTTACTTACATTACTGAACGTCGGTCATGGATGCATCACTGTGTCAAGCTGCTCCTTAAATCAGCTCCTTGACAGTTCCGCCATCTCAC